ACGATTTTTATATATGAAATATGCTTCACCAAGCAATATTTTCATGACGTCATAATAGTTCATATGTGACGTCATACGCAAAGGTATGACATTGTAAGTATTGTGTTCACTGAGAAATATGGTAATAATGTGATGAATGAGTATACATTTCACCCGGTACCTCGGCGCGAAATATGTCGTCTCTCCCTCGTGCCTGTTTTTATTCCGAAAGTTCTTCTTAAGAACTGTTTGCTTACATGGAACCCAACGAAGTTTTCAGATTGACATGATCTTGGAACGTTGCAAGGACATAGGGGTCAACTTACTAAAAATGTTCAATCGATTTCTTCTTTGAATGGGCTAAAATGCTTTGATCCATACTTGGAAAAATGGGATAGAATTTGGTAAAAAAGTGACCTAGAAATTGTAACATTGCGGCAACAAAATGTATTCAAAATTTGAAAGTCACATGGAAATAATTATTGAAATCTCCAAAGTAAATGTTAAATTCAAACTAGTCTGATATTGTTTAATGGCATAAACAATGACAGTGTAAGAATGAGCGGACGGTTTCCCTTTTTGTGTGAGGCGAGTGGTGTGTGTTTGCGGGGTGCTACGTATGTCTCGGTGAGACGATGTAACCAGCTGTTACTGATATTGGTTTTAATCAATTTGACCTTTGAAATTTCTTATGACATCTTTTTAATTATAAGTAAATATATCGGGTATGATATATCTTAATATTTATTTCCAGAGCATACAAGATGGCCGACTCACTGGATACACGTGATGAAGAAAAACTTTTGGAATGTGGGATTTGCTGCAGCCGATTAAATGATCCTAGAAAACTCGAGTGTAGACACGCATTTTGCTTTACCTGCATCAAGGAACACTACAAAATCTGTGGCAAGCGATTGGCGCCATGCCCAATATGTAGGAAACTTTACCCGTCTCTCGATGTCTCAGTTGATGATCTGCCTCAATGCACGATCAACTTCATCAGCTATTAGATACAAGAAACTCCCGACATTCATGCGAGTCTGAACTCTGTCTAAGCTCCAATGCTCCATTTCTTTGTCTGAAATGTAAGAAGTGGCTGTGTTTTAAATGCACAGAACGAAAGGACGAAACATCTTCATGTCGTAGTCATGAGGCATATCGTATTTCTGATATGGATGCAAGATTGTATAACATTATCATACGGAGTCGGAAGAAAACGTGTACAGAACACCCGCACTATGATGTGCAATGGTTTTGTATGGAATGTAACGTGCTGGGATGTAACCATTGCAAGGTTCGTCAGCCTCTAACTCATCGTCTTATAGAGGTTGAGAAGAAGGCCACAGAGCTCCGGGGCCTATTTACAGATGTGTGTATCGAATTGCAGAGGCAATCAGAAGAACATCAAAAAGCTTCAGGATTTTTTCACAAAATATGTGAAAGACTTTCTCCCTTAGGAATTTGCGACGTACACGTTTGTGAGGAATCGGCAAGAGTCCATAAAGCAGACGTATCCGAATGCGAAAGTCTCATGCAGATCATGAACTACCTCAAGGACTATGCCACTGATGAGGTTTTGGTGTCTATATACCTTAACATGGAAGACCAAATAGCCAGTGAGATTGAAAAACAACCTCTAAAAGACCTAGGAAACATCCATTGGCTTGGAGATAATACTGAAGGAAAGAAATCGACAAAAGAAGGTAACGCACTGAAAACATTACAGAGTAACAGGAGACAATCGCAAAATGACACAGATATATCAAAAAAGATCAGTGTGGTGTATTTCTGTAACTTATTGGCTATGATGGTGATTGTTCTTGTTGTTCTCGCTGTCGTACTATCTTTAACATTCGTGGTGTATTATTGGAGTGACTTATGGCAAGGCATCAAGCACAAGTTTTACATCTCGGCAGTGGACTTTGTACATTCCAAATTAGAAGGAATGCTTAAAGAAGCTTTTAAACCTGAACTTATCTCACAATATCAAAATATTACACAGGAATTTGTTATCAGATTTAAAGAATTGGAAAACGACTCGATGAGCAAATTCTTAGAGTTCTTTAAGATGATTAAACATGAATATTGTAACAAGGATGTAAGGTATAGTAGTTATGGAGGAGATATTCGACTTCATTATCAACTCTATATGACGACCTTCTGTGGCAAAGATTAACAAGCACATTACTAGAATGTGTGAAAGGCTACAAAGTCTGTGTGGGACTTCCTAAATGCAACTACCTACATTAAGACACATTCGTATTTGCATGTACATGTACCTTACGTTACTAAAAATGTTAATATCACCATGTCAACATAATCATAATCCAAACTCAAATTCAATACACATTAGTGCGAAATGTGAACAGAAGAAAGATTTACATGGAGACCCCCGAAAATGAACAAGAATGAAAAGTAGATGTTCCGGGAGAGCAGCACCTCCTTTCGAACTTATTCAACCTTTCGAAATCGAACGAATCAAAATCATTATAATTCCCCATGTCAGTTGTGTGCTCGAATTGTTATTTTTTTGAAGTCGAATTTCATTCATTACGTATGCAATATCGTGCATGCTCCGACAAACATTCATGTAAACATACTATAAGTACGGAGTATTGAACGTTGGCGCGTTCATGGTCAAAGAATGTACAGCTCATGTTATTAGTCATCGGTTTTCTATACAAGTTCTGGAGTAAACAAATATTTCATCTGGTGTTCCAGACGAGTCAAATGTTTTGTTATTAGCATGGCGATATATGTTAACTATGTCAAACACTAACAACAGAACTTCCGCTACAACATTAAAATATGTACAAGAAAAATGTCTTTGTCGTTTTAGTCCTGTATATACACAGTAATTGGAAGACTATTGTAATATATTTTCAATGAGGCAATTCAAAGAAATCACAGACCCATAACCGTAAGTCTCAATCAATAGTTTTCATATGTATAAGACAACACTCCAAGTTCCACAATACACGATTCCAACAGAGAAATGTTGTCAAGGGAGACACCAAGAAGATTTTTTTTAAGGAAGACGAGAATATAATACCATAGGTTATTCACTGATTATGATCAGCAGGATTTTTTTTTTTTTTTTTTTTGAAATATGATTTTTAAGAGCAGATGGAAATGTAAAATCAGTAACTTTTGTGGGTAATATTTTCGTTGATCTTGTGTGTACTATAAACACGTGAATTCATACGTCCATGAACTGTCATAATTAATATATTTACATTGATAAGGCTATATTTATCCGTGAAATCAAACGCCCACGGAAGTGTGACTTTTGAAAAACCACGAAAATTGAGTGCCATTAAATTATATGATTTTACAGGAAAATCACGTGAAAAGTAAATATCGAAGACATACTGTAACGTTGTAGCGTTTTAAGTTTAAATACATAAACGCTAATAGCAGTTTCTGTACGTGGTCAATATGTTAAGTATTGCGAAAGTGTGAAGTCCACAATTAGCTGATTTGTTCAAAAGTGATATTACCCTAAAATTTGAAAATCGTCAAAGTAAATAACAATTGGTAATGCAACTCTAGAGACTATTTAAGCGACTCAATTAATTAAATGTTTGTGATAAAAGTCACTTCAAATAGATCGTCTAATTTAACAATAGATATCATGTCAAACACTCATTTTATGTTAACCACCCTACACATAACAAACAGAGATCATGTCAAACACTCATTTTTTGTTAACCACCCTACACATAACAAACAGAGATCATGTCAAACAGACATTTTTTGTTAACCACCCTACACATAACAAACAGAGATCATGTCAAACACTCATTTTTTGTTAACCACCCTACACATAACAAACAGAGATCATGTCAAACAGACATTTTTTGTTAACCACCCTACACATAACAAACAGAGATCATGTCAAACACTCATTTTTTGTTAACCACCCTACACATAACAAACAGATATCATGTCAAACAGACATTTTATGTTAACCACCCTACACATAACAAACAGATATCATGTCAAACACTCATTTTATGTTAACCACCCTACACATAACAAACAGATATCATGTCAAACACTCATTTTATATTTACCACTTTACACATAACAAACAGATATCATGTCAAACAGACATTTTATGTTAACCACCCTACACATAACAAACAGATATCATGTCAAACAGACAGTTTATGTTAACCACCCTACACATAACAAACAGATATCATGTCAAACAGACAGTTTATGTTAACCACCCTACACATAACAAACAGATATCATGTCAAACACTCATTTTATGTTAACCACCCTACACATAACAAACAGATATCATGTCAAACACTCATTTTATGTTAACCACCCTACACATAACAAACAGATATCATGTCAAACACTCATTTTTTGTTAACCACCCTACACATAACAAACAGATATCATGTCAAACAGACATTTTATGTTAACCACCCTACACATAACAAACAGATATCATGTCAAACACTCATTTTATGTTAACCACCCTACATATATCAAACAGATATCATGTCAAACACTTATTCTGTCGTCGCTTTATTGTGACAGTATTACATTATATTACAATTATCACCAGTAATTGGATTTCTATTATCTTTCCTTGTAAGTATCGTGTTGATTGATGCAAAATAAAAGCATTTGACATAGACCCGCAACCTCATCTTCCCTCCCCTCACTCCCTGTTACTTTTCCAAGATATCAGAAGTAGTTTTCCTTTCTAATATTCTCCTTCTTATCCTGCTGAAATTACTCTAAATTCACAATGTAACGTCATATAACTTCCAAAACGATTTATGTTGTATGTTTTCTCTTTATGGAAACTTGCAGTTCATGACCATATGATGCTCAAAATTCTACAAAATATTCCATGATACAATCTTCCTTATTCTTTAGGGAACTGTTAGCAAAAAAGTCTCTACTCATCTCGTTTCATTTCCACGAAACTCGTGAAAATATTCGTGTTACATTTCTTCTTTAGGAAAAGGTGGAAAATAAATAACTAACCAAGTTAGCTATAGTCCCATGACCTCGTCAATAATTTCCGTGATACATTCAATCTCTTCTGGTGTGGTATCATACTTTTCTACAGTGCCGTCCTCGTGTATAATGACTCCTGGGAGATACCGGTTCAGGTTCTCCTTAACCATCCGGGCCGGATTTAAATATTTATCCAGACATTTCATCACACACGGGAAAATCACGATCAAGCAGGGACAACCGGTGCCAAAGGCTACAATACAGGACTTAGGATCTCGTAGGAAGCAGAACATGATGGCGGAGAACATCAACACTGTCAGGAGTGTAGAACCCGCAAAGATCATGATAGTCTTCAGCTGGGCTTTCCTAGCGTTGTCACGATCTAATTCTGTTATCACCTGCATCAATAAATAAAACATTTTAACGATATAATTCTGTTGTTACCTGCATCAACAATCCGTTAAACATTATTATACATGGTACACATTTAAAATAAGTTCTATAGAACGCTTCTGTAATGCTGAAATGAAATCTGATGATATAAAAGAAAATCTAGTAGGAAGTAGAAACGATATGATTCTTTTTATCACATAAACGTTAAGGGAATGACGCCTTTCAATTAATTAGGTAGACACAGCATAACAGCGCAATGAATAAAGCTATTATCAAACACTTGTGTGTTTCTTGTGCAATCTTTTGACACTCGTTAATTTTTTTGATTTTTTTGCCAATAATGTAGAAAACGCGTTTTTCCTTGTCATTTGCCTCCATTGAATATGATTTTTTCGTGAAGTGATTTTATAAACTTGATGACGTCACAAAACATTTCAAAATAGAATGAAACGCCGATCGTGTATTGACAAAAGATTTTTCCGCAATGGAAATTATGAACACAGTAACCATTGAACATGGAACGAAAGCAAGATCGATGGGAAATGGGCTGAGGATTAACAAATCGAAAACAAAATCGACGGAACAAGAGATCGATGACGAGACAGAAACATGGCAGTATGTAACATTGTCGGGAAAGGTGACAGAAATTTGTCTTTCCATAAAAAGTAGAGGTGAAGCCATTGGTATTTGTCAGAAAAGGTGACAGAAATTTGTCTTTCCATAAAAAGTAGAGGTGAAGCCATTGGTATTTGTCAGAAAAGGTGACAGAAATTTGTCTTTCCATAAAAAGTAGAGGTGAAGCCATTGGTATTTGAATTTTTAACGAAGATTCAGGGGTGACTTTTGTACCTTTTAGCCAAGTATTCAATGACGACCATGGTCATTTAAAATATTTGGTTTTCTATCAGAAGTATTCAATGATGACCATGGTCATTTAAAATATTTGGTTTTCTATCAGAAGTATTCAATGACGACCATGGTCATTTAAAATATTTGGTTTTCTATCAGAAGTATTCAATGACGACCATGGTCATTTAAAATATTTGGTTTTCTATCAGAAGTATTCAATGACGACCAAGGTCATTTAAAATATTTGGTTTTCTATCAGAAGTATTCAATGACGACCATGGTCATTTAAAATATTTGGTTGTCTATCAGAAGTATTCAATGACGACCATGGTCATTTAAAATATTTGGTTGTCTATCAGAAGTATTCAATGACGACCATGGTCATTTAAAATATTTGGTTTTCTATCAGAAGTATTCAATGACGACCATGGTCATTTAAAATATTTGGTTGTCTATCAGAAGTATTCAATGACGACCATGGTCATTTAAAATATTTGGTTGTCTATCAGAAGTATTCAATCACAATTTTCATACAGATTAAGGGTGTTATTTTTTAGGAAAGAGTTTATCGTTGTATTTACAAGAACTCGTTTTGTACAGCTGTAGTTCTTCAAACTCCCTGAATAAATTCAAAAACCATCGCTATAGCGCATTTACATAACTATGATGAAAGTAGCAGATCTTTATTCTCAATAGTAAACTAACTTGTGAAAATCTTACAATGGTTTCCTATTTAACTTAAGACCGTCTTGTCTTTTTGCAATAAAATTCTTCAAAACTAGCGTTCAACGTTCGAGAACAGATGTATTTAAGTAGACATAGAACATAACTACCTACCTGGAAGCTATCTTTTTCAGCAACAGTGGACGAGTTGAGTGCCTCTGTGGTGTGTTCGTACGCCCATCCCTCATTGGCTATATTACTCATGTCCAGGCCCACCTGTCTTTTGTGTCGACGACGGCGGTTGGCTAAGAATGTCTTCATCAGGTTGATCCGTGGTGTTGATGACGGAGCAACGGTTGTAAAATTCCTCCCGGTCATGAGTATGAATAACCTTGACCTATTCTGACGAGGCATGACTTCACTGATTGGATTAGAAGCTGATTCGTCTATTATCTTTTCTTCTTTGACAACGCCGTATTGATCATAAGCATGTCCGTGTTCTATAGAAAACATAGGAGCGATCCTGAGTTTTGGAATATATATTATTACAATTTCACCTTAGCGTATTCGTTCTTTTTTGAAACAACGCGAAGGGCAAAGGCCGAACAAAAGAAAGATCAACATGTAACATCGAAGATCAATATTCATCATATTAATTGTTTGTGAATCTCCCGTTCTAAAAGTGTTAAAGCCCCAATATACGTAACATTCACCAAAAATTTAATGTAGAATCACACATAATTATTGAGATATTCTCTAAGATATAGTTAGAATTAAGTTATTCAAACAATAGTTACCATGACATTGTGCATAAAGTATTGATATATGAGCAGTTGAAACTCGCTATTTGTAAACACACCTCCATTTTAAACACGCCGCCATCGAAATTACGATTGTTGCTGAACCACGTCGGAAAGTTCATGACCTGATCTCGCGAGAGTTGAGGTTTCTACTTATAGAAGGTAAGATTTTGTTTACAAATATTGTTTGCGAAGTCTTGTCGTAGACTTGAGGTATTCCTGTGATAAACATTCGGTTTTTGGGAAATTATTAGAAGGAATAATTAGTTTAGAAACGATACGACGCACAATTATAACGTAAGAATTCAGAACTGGCCTGATGTATGATTGGAAAAAAAGGAAGCGACTGGTGAACGTCTGTACTGTGCCTGCCATGTTTACACACGCGGAATATGCGCATGCGCAATGTCATCGCTACGAGCGGTAATGAAGGAATTATTGTGGGTCCCACATAGTTTATTTTCCGATTTTTTCAATTTTTATTTAAATTGAAAACAGTCAGTTTTATTTTCTTTAATTAAAGGAAAGTATTTTTTTTTGTTACATATATTACGGGGAAAATAAGATAACGTTTTGTTTTTTTTTTATGTATATTGGGGCTTTAATATGTCGAGTCTATTATTTCAAAGATTCCAATCCAGATTTTCACACACTGACCATCACAGCTGAGTCAGGTAAGGACACCTGTATTGTAGTTTTATTAGTTGCTAATTAAGTAAGTAGGATGTGAATGTTTATTTGTCGATATTTTTTATTTGTTTGTCATTCTTTAGATAACATTAATGCGTTTACATAGTACGCCAAACCGAAGATAAAAAGTCTGCTGTTGAGACAGTTATGAAAGTGGTTTTGTGGATACAACTAAAGTAACTTCAGTAAACATTTCTGAATACACGTTTGAAAACTTCAGCACACTCTTTTGTTACTAATGTCTGTTTGTGCAAGGTTATATGACCATTTCTTGTATATACCGTATTCCAAAAATAATTTTCTAAATAACATATATATATATTCAAAATGTTATCTTTATGAATCGGTGGTGTCATCAGAATTTCAAACAAATGTTATCAAAGAAATATATCACTGAAAAAGAAACAAATCATCAATTATGGTTATAGATATCAATCAGTTTTATGTAATCAAACTACCGGCAGTTGTGTTCCCGAGTGATGACGTCACTGTTAGGTTGGAGAAAACATCGGATGGGATTTGTAGGTCCTTGATAAGATCATCTCCTATCTTGATTACGTGTAGTTTGTCACCTGCTAACACCTCGACTTCCGGTATCACTTCCTGTTCCTCAAACTCTGTTTATAAAATCAAATGTATATAAGGAAAATGCCATAAAAAAACGAAGAAAAACAAACCAACGAAAAGTAAACAAAACAAGCATGCTGAGGCAAAAATAGTGGAATATTTGTGTGATATGTACCTTCTGCGGCATAAGCCTCTTCGTGAGAAATCTCTATCGAGACTGATCTGCCGTCTACAACTGAAATAAAAAAAAATATAACACAGCAGTTGTTTTTTCTTAAATATAGTCGCGTATCGTTAGAGGGCTAGAACAAAATAGTTCAAAAGATTTTACTTTTCTTTGTCAAAAAAATTTCATTTCTAAGGACACAGAAAAAATATACATGATCTAGAATTCATTTCATGTCTAATCTTGGCTGTTAATAACCGAAGAAGGATTCCTAAGTTTTTTTCGGAGTTCACTTCATAGGCCTATTTGGCGAACGATGTATCAACCAGGCCTACAGACAAGGTGATGAAGATGTATCAAGTCATGCTTGTGGTAAGGTAGCACTCAGAAAAGAAAAAAAATATTCGAATTCGCGGAGGACATAAGCAAGTCCAAAAATCGGTGATTTTTTTTTTAGCAGACGATTTGGACAGTACTTTTGGGCTAGCCTCCCTGTGTTTATATTGTTGACTTACCTGTGGTAAAAAAAACAATGAAACAAAAATATATATTCCACTGAGACTCTGAAAGATGCATGTCAAGCTATACTATCAAAATATAATCTGGTTCCTACATGTTTTCTTACTGAAAAAACAGAACTGTCAATATTGACAGGTGGCGCTGCGTCCGTTCGGAACGTCTCTATTTGTTAATTCCGAAAAGAAAAATGGCGAAACACATGTTGAGGAAACTGTCTACCGGTATGTTGTTGAATGCTGTTATATTTACTGAGTGTCACACTCCTTAAATTCTAAAGATGTTTCAGCACGAAACTGTTGTGCATTTACCTACTATTTTGAAATGTAATTTAGAAGGGAATGATAAAACTTGTGTTCATATGTCACTCCAACATTGAATTGGTTGCGTAACTTTTGACCTGACTGTGGCAGACGGTGTTTTTTATTTACAAATATACCTCCTGGTATTCATTGCAACTTTATGACGTTATGGACCTGATAATATTTCAGATCGCTTTCATATGAATCGTTGGAGATGCAGTGCTCATTTTGTGACTTGATAGTGGGCTGTTTCTAATTTAGGCATATCGACGCGTGTCAAACTCCTAATCGTGTGTTGACACCTGTGGGAGATTTTTATTGGAGCTCACTCAAGTGTAAAACCGACTGAGATGTTCGTAAACCCGGATTAAAAAAATCACCAATAGTCACTTAAGATATTTGATGTTAACATGTTAGAATAAACTCACAACATACCTGTGTATCATTGAACTCTGAAGGTTAAAATATGGAGTTTCAGATATGGGCAAGAATTAGCTAATGTAACCCTAAGTGTGACATTGCAAGAAAAAATAAGAATATTCATAAGCCTACAAATTTTGTTTGAAGTATAACCTAAAATGGTGTCTTTCTATGTGTAACAAAAACAATCATTTAGAAACTTACTTCAGTTAAGAACAAATAGAATTAATGAATTCAGAGCATGTAACATAGACACCATTCCCAAACGGAGATTGATGGTTCTTTGACCTGTATAAAGTTTAGTATTAGGTTTGTTTATCTCAAAACATTGTCCATTATCTCAACTTAAGAAATTGCATTTTTCAAATTTATCATGTATTTCTGAAATTCTATGAAAACAGGTTTCCTCTTATTGTTCTGTCAATGTTCCATGCAATTATTAAGAGATAAATATAATCAGAATTATGTTCGTAGTAAACAAGAAGTCATTTTTTCATTGTGTTACTGTCGTATAAAGAAAATTCTATCGACATTTTTGCAACCTTCTCATTTCAGTAATCAAGTAGTTACACATATGTTTCATGTAACATGGACACAAAAAATATGAATCATAAAGCATGCCAGAAATGCTATTAAAACATTTAAAAACCCCCCCAATACACTATCTGTATGTAAATTATAATTATTCTCCCACATATCTCAAATATAATTTTGTTTAAGTAGTCGCATGTAACATTGACACCAAAAACGTGCAACTATTTATTTTCGGATCAAGGATACGGACGGAAATCGTTCCCACCAAAAAAATGCTATCGTGAGGTCAAACCTGTTTCAAGTACCAGATCTACTGTTTTTTGGTTGAAAAAATGCAAAGCAAAATCACACAACATTATCAAAGATCATATCTTACTCTGAATGTGTGCATAACACTTTGTTACATGATCAAAATTACCAGATTCTGTGGTTTCCTCGAGTTCCTCTACACCAGTAGAGACCATTTTGGAAAACTGCATAGTCACATGTTAACGTTACTGGGAGTGATTCAAAATGTCGCAAAAAACATTATCGTTACGCGATCTGTTACAGAAATACAACTGTTCCAAAGAGAGGGGGTATTTTAGGGTAGTTTGGACACGAAAATTAATTATATTTTATTACCTGATATATTTTCCGAACTCCAGTTGATTGATGAAAATTATGACAACCATATCTTACCTTGTAAATTTGCAAATGCCGTGTCGATGATGCGTTTCCAAACAAATGTACTGAGGGAAACGTGCATGTAACGTACATTGGTCTATTTTCAATCCTATTTTTTGCAGCGTTAATCAAATCCTGTACAAAACAAGCGTTTTCATCGATAGACCGATCATTTTGCAGTTGATTAACAACTTTTACAGCACCACAATTCTTCAGGCATTTAATAAATATGACTCAGAGTTTCACTACTGCAGAAATGTCACACTTTTTGCCTATAATTTATCCACTGGCGGTGTACAACTTGTGCTGCTTTCTTGTTATTTAATCAATTAGATCAATTTGTATTTTCATATGACGATAAAAATAAACCAACTTTAATATCTAAACAATGTTTATTCTCCATACTTGCATGATTTTGTTTGTTTTTTATTGGATAAACTACTTTGGCACTAAAATTTCATTAGTGAATTCTTGCCCATATGTAAAGATATATCGATGTACCTGACCCTGACAGATATATGACTCATTACAATTGTCATGTCTTAGTTCAAATTATGAATTCTAAACAAATTTGTGCAGATTTCAGCACTTTCTGAATAATAATACATACTTCCTAAAGATAAACAACATGGCACTATGAGAGACTATACCAGATGTAGTATATACATACCTGTACCTGTAGTACAACTGTCACTACAACTGAGGAACTAGTTCACAAACACATTATATAGGTCCCGGGTTCGAATCCAAGTGGAGACATTGAAATGAGTAATGACATCTGTAACATTGGCGCCCATGTAGGCACTAGGGAATTATACTTAGCATTGTCCAACATGACATCACTGTAACCCCTAGAAATTCAAGGACGTGGTTTTGCCTGGAAGGGGAGCATGTAACCCAGGTAAATACTAGGTGCGATGTACCATTTGGCTAGAGAGAACTTCTTTGTAGTTTGATCAGTTTAGCATCAGACTAGTAAACCCAGACTTCCTGGGTTTGAATCCTAGCGAATGCATTGAAATAAATAATGACTTTTGTTACACATACATATATAAAAAGAAAAATACTTTGATGTTTGATAGTGCTGATGTATTGTTTGTGAGCTGCTGTAGATTGTAGTAAATCTGAGAAAGAACAGGGAAAATCCCATTCTCTTTGGCTGTGACATACAGTATTTGATCCCATGTCTGCCACTTGACCATCTGTGACATACAGTATTTGATCCCATGACTGCCACTTGACCATCTGCGACATACAGTATTTGATCCCATGTCTGCCACTTGACCATCTGCGACATACAGTATTTGATCCCATGTCTGCCACTTGACCATCTGCGACATACAGTATTTGATCCCATGTCTGCCACTTGACCATCTGCGACATACAGTATTTGATCCCATGTCTGCCACTTGACCAGCTGTGACATACAGTATTTGACCCCATGTCTGCCACTTGACCATCTGTGACATACAGTATTTGATCCCATGTCTGCCACTTGACCATCTGTGACATACAGTATTTGATCCCATGTCTGCCACTTGACCATCTGCGACATACAGTATTTGATCCCATGTATGCCACTTGACCATCCATGGTTAGATGTGTAGTTACCAATCATTGTAAATGTCAATAAATTATGGTGTGTGATTTATAAAAAACAAACAAAAAACGTACAGACTAACCCTAATGTAACTGGCATGATAGGCAATAATCCATCAGATCATATGTACTAACTCTGATTTAGCATGACATCAATGGTGACAACTCATTTTTTTCCACAGAACTACTTTACTCAAGTCACAGTCGTATGACTGCATCTCGGATTTTACCAGCTGTCATAAACAACAACAACACATCATGTCGTCATGCCAGCTCATCTCAGTAAGTAAATGATGTAAATCTCCTCTCCCCCCCCCCCACTCACACCTCCTTTTCCCAACACCAAAAAGATAAAAATTAAAAAAAAAAGATTGGAACCAAAACTGACTATTAAACTTCAATATACAAAAATATAACAATTTCATTTCATCTCTTAAAATTTTCAATTATAGAAGTAACATTTACTGGTACTGTGTGTTTAAAGATATACGGAATTTTCTCCCGATTCTTTCCCTGTTTTGGAAAAGTTATACATTTAAAACTAGTGTAAACATGTACACTGGTCCTCTTTCAGCAAGAAAAATCATAAACTGAGGATGTTGTATCACCTATATACAAATTGTGAGCCTCTCTGTATTATTTAGTCAGGGGCTACATTTGTTCATTGTCCATTTTTTTTTACTTGGGAATTGTTTTGTAATCAGAACAGTGTCCAATATCTTTGTCATGTGTGCTGCTTTGTTGAGGAAGTGCAACTGTGTATTCTTTTTAGGACCATTGAGTGATGATACAGGTACATGTATATAGGGCTGAAACAAAATGATTTTAGCTCTTTTGTTTGAAGGGACACGTCTATACAAAAATGTTTTTCAACTCTTCATATTTAAACAAAAAATGTCACTTGAAATTGCTTAATGTCAAAGTTAAACTAAATGTTCAGGAATTTGATTGACAATGATTTGCTTAAACTCTTTCATTTCACAGAAAGCCAAAAACAGGAATACTTATGCTAAATATGGGTGGACCAGAGAAGCTAGCAGATGTGGAGGGCTTTCTTACTAATTTATTCCTGGACCGGGACTTGATGACCTTGCCAGCACAGAAGTATGTAGAGCACAAATGGTAGACAAACAGACAAGAACCTTATGTCACCGTCATATAATTCTCTCAGTCTATATCTGAGGGTTTCACTTGCTTGGTATTTGAAGTATTCCCAACATTTCTGAGCTATTTTGTTTTTTCTATTTGTTTAGCGTACTGGCTCCACGGATAGCTAAGCGACGCACCCCCAAGATTCAAGAGCAGTATAAAGAGATAGGAGGGGGTTCTCCAATCAAACGCTGGACAGAGACACAAGGCAAGGGCATGGTGGAAATCCTGGACCGTATCTGTCCTGAATCTGGTAAGTTGATTGTGAATGTTCTAAACCAGGTTTCTTATCCTGTCTGTCTATATCTGGTTATTGTGTTATTATGATGGGAGGATAGAGTCTCACATACAGCTGAACTGTCAGTGTTTTAGTTTGGAATTCAAATGTTTTAAAGTATTAATCTTGGCGACCTAAGACTAGTATGCTCAGAAACAAATTCTGTGATTTTTGGGACTCAATGACTTGAGTCCTGGGCTCATATGTTTCCTGTGAAACTCACTCATATTTTGAGAACCTGCTCTATGTCTTTATACAGACTCATCAGCATTTTAGGAGTGGTTTTTCTGGGCTCACCAATGTTCATTATGATCACGGTCATTTGACTCTAAAACATCATAGTTGTTTAGAACAGTTTGCGGAATTATTGTTGTTGTTAAGAACAAAAGATGCATTCTGTATAAGGATCTTATAAATTATATGAAATAAAGTATTTTGATATATTTGCTTTTAGAGAAGTATCAAATTTAAGTTCTTTAATTTTCATATTACATTGACACAATATGTAGGACGATATTTATAGTAATGGTTCATTGTTACATATAGAAGTAAGTACTTACCTTTATTACTTATACAGATGCAATTTTTTTACATTCAGATTTTCCCTTTTTAGAAATGAATTGAATCAGTTTGGTCTTGTGATGTTTTTATTTTTAAATTTCAGCTCCACACAAATTTTACGTTGGTTTCCGTTATGTAAATCCTCTGACAGAAGATGCCATTGATCAGATGGAGAGGTACTTGACATTTTATAATTAAAAAGAAAATCATTCCAGTTTACCTTAAAATATCTGTAACACATTACACATATAAGATATGGAAGAGAAATTCATATTACCAGATTTGACTGTTTCACACTGAACAGATGAACAAGTGTTTTTGAGAACAGCCAACTTGTGTGAAAGGCTGATTTAGTCTTACAAACACCTGTTAACTATGGCCCCTTGTTTGGGTTTTTTATGTAGTAAAGTAACAAACCTCTATGTACATATAAGGGACCACACTGATGTGACACTTGAAGCCTACTATCATCAGATGACGGGCAATTATAATTGACCCGTGTTCGAGATATGTCTGTTAAATGTTGGTATCGTTGAAGGACTTTATTAATCTTCCTCAGATTTCATGTTAAGGTTCGCCTTTATCAAAAGTTGTGACCATTTGATTTTGGGATTGATCAGAAAAATAAAATGGCTTACGGATGGCCATCTTGGATTTACATGAAAGTTTGTTATTGCTATTGAGCTTTCTCAGATTTCATATGTAGGTTCCTTTTTGTCCCTAATTGTGTCCGGTTGAAAAAAAAAAAAGCAAGAGAATATTATCTATTTCTTGGGAGGAATCTTTAAATTCCATAGGACTGAGAGCAAAGATAGGGGAAAGGAAGGTAAGAATCCAGTTTTTATTGAACAAATAAACATTGAATGGTAGTGGGCATCAAAAGTTCTGTTGGATCTTTTGTTTGACAAGTTTGACTCCTGTATTTAACCAAAAAATATCTTTGTCTCTCTTGATTTCCAAAAAACTTCCATCTGTGGTTTCCGTTATCATTTCATGTTATGGTAATTTCTTAGAAAGTATTTAATGGATCTTTCTCAATTTTATTCATAGGTTTCCCTTTTTAACAAATGTTTGATCCCTCGACAATACCTATTTTGAATTAAGTAATTTAATGTAAGAAACACATTGTATATACCACATAGAGATATAAACATTGTATATACCACATAGAGGTATAAACATTGTATATACCACTAAACAATGTATATACCACATAGAGATATAAACATTGTATATACCACTAAACATTGTATATACCACATAGAGGTATAAACATTGTATATACCACATAGAGATATAAACATTGTATATACCACATAGAGATATAAACATTGTATATACCACATAGAGATATAAACATTGTATATACCACTAAACATTGTATATACCACATAGAGATATAAACATTGTATATACCACATAGAGATATAAACATTGTATATACCACTAAACATTGTATATACCACATAGAGATATAAACATTGTATATACCACATAGAGATATAAACATTGTATATACCACTAAACATTGTATATACCACATAGAGATATAAACATTGTATATACCACATAGAGATATAAACATTGTATATACCACTAAACATTGTATATACCACATAGAGATATAAACATTGTATATACCACATAGAGATATAAACATTGTATATACCAAATTGAGATATAAACATTGTATATACCAAATAAATGTATTGGTGTAATATGAGCTGAATGATCATCAAGCTTATCAAAATTTATGAAATTTGTTGAAATAATTTTATTGTACAGTGATGGTATAGAGCGAGGGGTTGTCTTCACACAATACCCACAATACAGCTGTTCTACAACAGGAAGTAGTATCAATGCTTTCTACAGACACTATGCCTCTAGAGGAGTTCCTAGTAATATCAGATGGAGTGCCATAGACAGATGGCCTACACATCCAGGATTAGTACAGGTAAGTAATATTTTCAAAGAGGTTCCGAGTAGCACCATATACAGAGTATGATAGACAAAACCTAAGAATAGTGTATGTAATGTATATGATAAACTGTCCCAAACCATTCTGTTAGCATCATAGAGGAACATCCACTCCCAAGACTGTAAAGGAAGAATAATAACTCTTGAGGGACTCCAAATATAGCACATTATATAGCATTGAGAGGTTGCTAACTGGCTTGAGATTAGGGCGGGTAAGTAATGACACCAGAGGAGTTCTTGATAGCCTTACTAAGATTATCATAGAAAGACTACTATAAAGGATTATGTTCATGTCTGTCAGAGGCACAGTATTTCAGGAACCAGCAATGATGTACTACATGTTATGGTCTAGAGCATTATTATTCGAAAAATTTCATCCAACCGTCTGTATGAAACGCTTGGCAGCTGAAACAACCATGTCCATATCTCTTTGCATGCTTCTCTCAAACAAGCAATCTGTGCACAATTTATTTTAATAATTGATCTCAAACAGAGAAAATATGTGTCTTAAAATCTGGAGTTGAAAACCTACAAGTATGAGTATACATTGGACATTGTTGTGTTTCAGGGGTCAAAGGTCGCGGCATTGGCAGTGGGAGCTGAAATGTCTTCAAAATATTTATTTGTTAATTTTTTTTACTTTTCCAGTAAAACCACTTAATAATTGTGTGTATTTCCAGGCCTTTGCTGAAAATATACAAAAACAGCTAGATAGATTTCCAAAGGAGGACAAAGACAAAGTGGTCATCTTGTTTTCTGCTCACTCCTTACCACTGATGGTAAGTCTTACAGGACAGACATACTATCCTGTCCACTCCTTATCACTGGCGGTAAGTCTTACAGGACAGACATACTATCCTGTCCACTCCTTATCACTGGCGGTAAGTCTTACAGGACAGACATACTATCCTGTCCACTCCTTATCACTGGCGGTAAGTCTTACGGGACAGGCATACTATCCTGTCCACTCCTTACCACTGACGGTAAGTCTTACGGGACAGACATACTATCCTGTCCACTCCTTACCACTGACGGTAAGTCTTACGAGACAGACATACTATCCTGTCCACTCCTTACCACTGACGGTAAGTCTTATGGACAGGCATACTATCCTGTCCACTCCTTACCACTGGCGGTAAGTCTTACGGGACAGACATACTATCCTGTCCACTCCTTACCACTGACGGTAAGTCTTACAGGACAGACATAATATCCTGTCCACTCCTTACCACTGACGGTAAGTCTTATGGGACAGGCATACTATCCTGTCCACTCCTTACCACTGACGGTAAGTCTTACGGGACAGACATACTATCCTGTCCACTCCTTATCACTGACGGTAAGTCTTACGGGACAGACATACTATCCTGTCCACTCCTTACCACTGACGGTAAGTCTTACGGGACAGACATACTATCCTGTCCACTCCTTACCACTGATGGTAAGTCTTACGGGACAGACATACTATCCTGTCCACTCCTTACCACTGGCGGTAAGTCTTACTGGACAGACATACTATCCTGTCCTCTCCTTACCACTGGCTGTAAGTCTTACGGGACAGACATACTATCCTGTCCACTCCTTACCACTGGCGGTAAGTCTTACGGGACAGGCATACTATCCTGTCCACTCCTTACCACTGAAGGTAAGTCTTACGGGACAGACATACTATCCTGTCCACTCCTTACCACTGATGGTAAGTCTTACAGGACAGACATACTATCCTGTCCACTCCTTACCACTGGCGATGAGTCTTACGGGACAGACATACTATCCTGTCCACTCCTTACCACTGGCGATGAGTCTTACAGGACAGACATACTATCCTGTCCATTCCTTACCACTGACGGTAAGTCTTACAGGACAGACATACTATCCTGTCCACTCCTTACCACTGGCGATGAGTCTTACGGGACAGACATACTATCCTGTCCACTCCTTACCACTGGCGATGAGTCTTACAGGACAGACATACTATCCTGTCCACTCCTTACCACTGACGGTAAGTCTTACAGGACAGACATACTATCCTGTCCACTCCTTACCACTGGCGATGAGTCTTACAGGACAGACATGCTATCCTGTCCACTCCTTACCACTGATGGTAAGTCTTACAGGACATACTATCCTGTCCACTCCCTACCACTGGCGGTAAGTCTTACAGGACAGACATACTATCCTGTCCACTCCTTACCACTGACGGTAAGTCTTACGGGACAGACATACTATCCTGTCCACTCCTTACCACTGGCGATGAGTCTTACGGGACAGACATACTATCCTGTCCACTCCTTACCACTGGTAGTGAGTCTTACCGCACAGACATACTATCCTGTCCACCCCTTATCAGTGACGGTAAGTCTTATGGGGCAGACATACTATCCTGTCCACTCCTTACCACTGATGGTAAGGCTTACGGGACAGACATACTATCCTGTCCACTCCTTACCACTACTGGTGAGTCTTACGGGACAGACATACTATCCTGTACACTCCTTACCACTGCTGGTGAGTCTTACGGGACAGACATACTATCCTGTCCACTCCTTACCACTGGTGGTGAGTCTTACGGGACAGACATACTATCCTGTCCACTCCTTACCAGTGACTGTAAGTTTTACAGGACAGACATACTATCCTGTCCACTCCTTATCACTGGCGGTAAGTCTTACAGGACAGAAATACTATCCTGTCCACTCCTTACCAGTGATGGTAAGTCTTACAGGACAGATATACTATCCTGTCCACTCCTTACCAGTGACTGTAAGTCTTACAGGACAGACATACTATCCTGTCCACTCCTTATCACTGGCGGTAAGTCTTACAGGACAGACATACTATCCTGTCCACTCCTTACCAGCGATGGTAAGTCATGTTGATCATTCTCTGCCAACTTTGCTTTGAAGGTTAACTAAAATTGATCAGATTTAGTTCTGAATTCTTGTGCTGAAACTACCTATAGCTCTCTACCATCTATTTGGGGGAAGTTGTGGATTGCATGATTTTTGCCCAGTCTGATTAATGCTTTCTACCCTTTCCTTTTGAGTGAAGTGAAAGAGTGTCCGATCCATGCCAATTTTCAACTTCTTTTGAAAGTAGAGGTCAGACATTGCATTTAGTAATAACATGTGATATTTAACTTTATTTTTAAATTTGTGACAATATCGGTCCTTCTTCACAGTTTACTGAACTTAAGATTTTTCTTTTTTTCAATGTTTGATGTGATTTAGTCTAAACGTTTATTTTACAATTGAATAACTTGTTTAGGTAGTGAACAGAGGGGATCCTTACCCAGCTGAGGTTGCTGCCACAGTCAGTCGTGTGATGGAGGCCCTCGGGTACTGTAATCCTTACAGACTAGTCTGGCAGTCTAAAGTAAGTATTAACTACCTCCTTATAATTATCTTCCTTCTACCACTGCCTTTTATTCCAGTGTGATATTGCTTCCCTTTATAGATTACCTCCCCTGTATAATACAATTCTTCTCCGTATAGATTACCTCCCCTGTATAATACAATTCTTCCCTTTATAGATTACCTCCCCTGTATAATACATTTCTTCTCCATATAGATTACCTCCCCAGTATAATACAATTCTTCCCCTTATAGATTACCTCCCCTGTATAATACAATTCTTCTCCGTATAGATTACCTCCCCTGTATAATACAATTCTTCCCTTTATAGATTACCTCCCCAGTATAATACAATTCTTCCCATTAAAGATTACCTCCCCTGTATAATACAATTCTTCCCTTTATAGATTACCTCCCCTGTATAATACAATTCTTCCCCTTATAGATTACCTCCCCAGTATAATACAATTCTTCCCCTTATAGATTACCTCCCCTGTATAATACAATTCTTCCCCTTATAGATTACCTCCCCTGTATAATACAATTCTTCCCTTTATAGATTACCTCCCCAGTATAATACAATTCTTCCCCTTATAGATTACCTCCCCAGTATAATACAATTCTTCCCTTTATAGATTACCTCCCCAGTATAATACAATTATTCCCTTTATAGATTACCTCCCCAGTATAATACAATTCTTCCCATTAAAGATTACCTCCCCTGTATAATACAATTCTTCCCTTTATAGATTACCTCCCCTGTATAATACAATTCTTCCCCTTATAGTTTACCTCCCCTGTATAATACATTTCTTCCCTTTACAGTTTACCTCCCCTGTATAATTCAGTATTCTCCCCCTGTAGAGATTATCTCCCCTCATAATGTATAAATGATCTTCCTGGGATGAATCACCCCCCACCCCCACCCCCACCCCCACCTTTCACATACATTATATTGTACATGCATACAGCTACCATTGTCATCATTAGTTGTTGACAGTGAAAAGTTTTACTATATATAACAAATCTTTGGTTTTTGAACAGATCTTTATGAATTTTCTCAAGAAATGGACCGGCTTTTAATCTCTTTTGTAGCACTAAAGCTGATTTATAGCATGCATGCAGCATTCTTATGTACTGCTGCCTTGGTATACTTCTGTACATATCAATTGGGTGTTTATATTGTATAACAGAATTACAGTAACAGAGTTCAGGGTAAGAAATAAGTTACATTCTGTATTTGTTTCTGAAATTTGTTCGGAAATCTTAATAATACAGGTTAAAATGATCCTGACACTTTGACATTTCTGAATCATGTCATTCAAATAAATTGTACCTATAAATGATTTCTGAGGACTGTGTTATTGACAGGTGGGTCCATTACAATGGTTAAGTCCCCAGACAGATGTTGCCATAGAAGGTCTGGCTCAGCGGGGTCAGAAAAACATACTACTCGTCCCCATCGCTTTTACCAGTGACCACATAGAGACGCTGTTTGAACTAGATCTGGAGTATGGCACAGAACTTAGTGCTAAGGTATGTCTACTGTGATAAATAACCTATTAGTGCTAATATTTCTTGTTTGGAGCATAACGTTGCCCACAGTTAAACAAGGTTTATGAAACTTGGTGAACACATTAATCATACTAAGACAATGTGCTTTGTACCCAATTCATTACCTCTGACCCTTCTTTTACATTGTTATTGTCCTTAGTTCAAATATCTTGTCAGAGAATAACTTTGCTTGCATTTTAACTAGGATAATGGTATTTGGTGTAGACATATAAAGACAATATGCAAGGCACCAGTGTTAGGGCCTACAACCCCTTAATTACAGAATTATTGTCCATTTTTAAAATTTTGTGTCCAATAACTTTTTTTAGGGAGTTATCATCAGTTTCACTGATACTCTTGTTTATTTACCAGGTATCTGATGTAACTTTGTTTCACCACTTTGTGAAAGATAGTTTATACATGTAAAGGAAAATAGTAATGAGTTTGTATCAAATGCCATGCAGTAACTCAATGTTAAATTACTATATTTGTCTATGTATTAGGTAAAGCAATATGCAAACAAGTGTGTAAATTATTTGTCTAAACATTGAAAATTCAAATTCTCCTTCAGAATATGTACGGTTAGGTACATTTTCTTCTATTATTTAATTACAAACATCATATAACCTAAAATCTTTAAAGATGAGAAATTGCAGATACATTTGATATATTACAGAAATCAAAAGCTTGTGTCTTGAGAAAGGTTAACAATACAGGCCATCTATGCCTGTTGATTAATTAGAGATACCATTAAATCATTGTCTTGTGTTTGTGTTGACAGCATGGTATCACCATCAAGAGAGCTGACGCCATGAATGGTAGTCCTACCTTTATACAGGTAATGTTAATGCTCAGAGCCTGTATTCCTGAAACCATTCTCATGCTCAAGCATAGATTTTGTGCTCAAGCAGACTGTTTTATAATTCAACTAAATCATATTAAATAATACAAATGTCAAATATAAACATTGAATAGAACTTTGTCTTGAAGTCCTTTCAATTTTTTTGTACCTTTGGCAAAATCAGCCTTATTTATTGATTTTTAACTTAAAACAAGACAAGGATTGAGCACAAAATTCATGCTTGAGCATGAGAACGATTACATGAATACGGGTGGTGGACCGAGATATTTTAGGTTAATAGACATCTAAGATTCAACCAGTTTTTTCATTTGTATTTCACTGGTTTGGGTTGGAGCGTTTTTTGCCTCATTTTGGGGAAAAAATGGTGTTTTCGGATTTAAGGTGTTGGAGTTTCATCGCAAATTCGAAATTTTGCTTTAAATTTGAAATAATTTTAATTGGGAATGGGGCCATGATCAACCCCAAAAAACTTTCTCTCAAAACAAAATTTAAAAAATTTGGAATTGATGGAGGGAAATTGTGTAAGTGATAATTGTTCTTTTAGTCTTATTCAAATTTTGTACCCTAACACAAATGTTAAGTTAATCTGTCAGACAAATTTTGTACCCTAACACAAATGTTAAGTTAATCTGTCAGACAAATTTTGTACCCTAACACAAATGTTAAGTTAATCTGTCAGACAAATTTTGTACCCTAACACAAATGTTAAGTTAATCTGTCAGACAAATTTTGTACCCTAACACAAATGTTAAGTTAATCTGTCAGACAGACAAATTTTGTACCCTAACACAAATGTTAAGTTAATCTGTCAGACAAATTTTGTACCCTAACTCAAATGTTAAGTTAATCTGTCAGACAAATTTTGTACCCTAACACAAATGTTAAGTTAATCTGTCAGACAAATTTTGTACCCTAACACAAATGTTAAGTTAATCTGTCAGACAGACAAATTTTGTACCCTAACACAAATGTTAAGTTAATCTGTCAGACAAATTTTGTACCCTAACACAAATGTTAAGTTAATCTGTCAGACAAATTTTGTACCCTAACACAAATGTTAAGTTAATCTGTCAGACAAATTTTGTACCCTAACACAAATGTTAAGTTAATCTGTCAGACAGACAAATTTTGTACCCTAACACAAATGTTAAGTTAATCTGTCAGACAGACAAATTTTGTACCCTAACACAAATGTTAAGTTAATCTGTCAGACAGACAAATTTTGTACACTAACACAAATGTTAAGTTAGTCTGTCAGACAAATTTTGTACCCTAACACAAATGTTAAGTTAATCTGTCAGACACAAATTTTGTACCCTAACACAAATGTTAAGTTAATCTGTCAGACAAATTTTGTACCCTAACACAAATGTTAAGTTAATCTGTCAGACAGACAAATTTTGTACCCTAACACAAATGTTAAGTTAATCTGTCAGACAAATTTTGTACCCTAACACAAATGTTAAGTTAATCTGTCAGACAAATTTTGTACCCTAACACAAATGTTAAGTTAATCTGTCAGACAAATTTTGTACCCTAACACAAATGTTAAGTTAATCTGTCAGACAAATTTTGTACCCTAACACAAATGTTAAGTTAATCTGTCAGACAAATTTTGTACCCTAACACAAATGTTAAGTTAATCTGTCAGACAGACAAATTTTGTACCCTAACACAAATGTTAAGTTAATCTGTCAGACAGACAAATTTTGTACCCTAACACAAATGTTAAGTTAATCTGTCAGACAGACAAATTTTGTACCCTAACACAAATGTTAAGTTAATCTGTCAGACAAATTTTGTACCCTAACACAAATGTTAAGTTAATCTGTCAGACAAATTTTGTACCCTAACACAAATGTTAAGTTAATCTGTCAGACAAATTTTGTACCCTAACACAAATGTTAAGTTAATCTGTCAGACAGACAAATTTTGTACCCTAACACAAATGTTAAGTTAATCTGTCAGACAAATTTTGTACCCTAACACAAATGTTAAGTTAATCTGTCAGACAAATTTTGTACCCTAACACAAATGTTAAGTTAATCAGACAGACAAATTTTGTACCCTAACTCAAATGTTAAGTTAATCTGTCAGACAGACAAATTTTGTACCCTAACACAAATGTTAAGTTAATCTGTCAGACAAATTTTGTACCCTAACACAAATGTTAAGTTAATCCGTCAGACAGACAAATTTTGTACCCTAACACAAATGTTAAGTTAATCTGTCAGACAAATTTTGTACCCTAACACAAATGTAAAGTTAATCTGTCAGACAAATTTTGTACCCTAACACAAATGTAAAGTTAATCTGTCAGACAGACAAATTTTGTACCCTAACACAAATGTTAAGTTAATCTGTCAGACAAATTTTGTACCCTAACACAAATGTTAAGTTAATCTGTCAGACAGACAAATTTTGTACCCTAACACAAATGTTAAGTTAATCTGTCAGACAGACAAATTTTGTACCCTAACACAAATGTTAAGTTAATCTGTCAGACAGACAAATTTTGTACCCTAACACAAATGTTAAGTTAATCCGTCAGACAGACAAATTTTGTACCCTAACACAAATGTTAAGTTAATCTGTCAGACAAATTTTGTACCCTAACACAAATGTAAAGTTAATCTGTCAGACAAATTTTGTACCCTAACACAAATGTTAAGTTAATCTGTCAGACAGACAAATTTTGTACCCTAACACAAATGTTAAGTTAATCTGTCAGACAAATTTTGTACCCTAACACAAATGTTAAGTTAATCTGTCAGACAAATTTTGTACCCTAACACAAATGTTAAGTTAATCTGTCAGACAAATTTTGTACCCTAACACAAATGTTAAGTTAATCTGTCAGACAAATTTTGTACCCTAACACAAATGTTAAGTTAATCCGTCAGACAGACAAATTTTGTACCCTAACACAAATGTTAAGTTAATCTGTCAGACAAATTTTGTACCCTAACACAAATGTTAAGTTAATCTGTCAGACAGACAAATTTTGTACCCTAACACAAATGTTAAGTTAATCTGTCAGACAGACAAATTTTGTACCCTAACACAAATGTTAAGTTAATCTGTCAGACAGACAAATTTTGTACCCTAACACAAATGTTAAGTTAATCCGTCAGACAGACAAATTTTGTACCCTAACACAAAAGTTAAGTTAATCTGTCAGATAGACAAATTTTGTACCCTAACACAAATGTTAAGTTAATCTGTCAGACAAATTTTGTACCCTAACACAAATGTTAAGTTAATCTATCAGACAGACAAATTTTGTACCCTAACACAAATGTTAAGTTAATCTATCAGACAGACAAATTTTGTACCCTAACACAAATGTTAAGTTGATCTGTCAGACAGACAAATTTTGTACCCAAACACAAATGTTAATTTAATTGGACAAATTTGAACTGGAAAGTTTTATTTATAATTTAGGTCTATAATTGGGGGCAGAAATGATGAGTGTTCCTCCTGAATGAGAAGGCTAAACTATGAAGTTGTTGATAACACTTTTTTTATGAAATATATTAAACAGGTAAAAGAAATGCAAATGTGTAATTTAAACACTGATGGTAGGATGGTGAACTAAATATAAAAGATGGTTGTATTGTACATGTTCCTGCTAACTAATTACAGGCACTGGCTGACCTAGTGAAGAACCATCTTGCCTCAAACCAGTCCTGCAGCAAGCAGCTGCCACTTCGCTGTCCGATGTGTACTAATGCCACTTGTGGAAAGGCTAAGGAGTTTTTTGTTAAACAACAACAACTTCTGGACATGGGTGTGAGCAGCACAGAAACAGTGCATGTGACTGCCTGACTTGTCTGATAGGTTCTGTGTGATTGTGAATGTATGTTTGAAGTTCTACAGATCTCTTACACTTATCTGTTCCTCAGGAGTGAAAATGTTGTCAGATATTTAACAAGTTTCAATGTGATACTCATTATCGGAGAGAGTTTAAAATTTATTTTGTGCAGCGAAGAAAGTGAACATGAGAAGCGTATGATTGTAAGCTCCAGTCAAGCTTTTCTTGTAGTACGTTAAACGGTTATCACATACATACCAGTATGGTATACTGTTAACTTCTACTCCTATTACAGTCAAACTTTGATGTTTCGCAGTTCAAGGAACTACCAAATAACCTTTAGCTTTCGGTCTGTGAAAAACTTTGATAATCGAAAAGTTCGATTTATAAAACTTTGATAATCGAAAAGTTCGATTTATAAAACTTTGATAATCGAAAAGTTCGATTTATAAAACTTTGATAATCGGAAAGTTCGATTTATAAAACTTTGATAATCGAAAAGTTGGATTTATAAAACTTTGATAATCGAAAAGTTCGATTTATAAAACTTTGATATTCGAAAAGTTAGATTTATAAAACTTTGATTCATAAAGGGGTAAATTAGAAGTAAAACAAACAATTTTGATATATTAAGAAATTTGAATGATCAAAGTTCGATTCATAGAAGTTTGACTGTATTGAGTGTCCTTGTAAGCATGGTGTATATATCACCAACTTGAGCTGATTTGATTCCTTATTCAGAAGTAATGAGGAACATTGATATTTATGTTAAGATGGCATTTTTCTTATTTTCTTTTTTGTTTGTCATACTGTTTTCAAGTTTATCATGTCATTATTTTGCTGTGTTGATGGTATTATGATTAAGCAGGACTGTAGAAGGTCAGAGGTCAGATACAGCATTGTAACAGGAAAGCTTACAGATCAGTCTGTAGCATGTTACCCTGATCAGAGCATCATAAATGTAAGGAAAATGTTTTCATTTGTAACATGTAAACATTTTATTTTCCGAAATTTGATACATAATTTAAAAAAAAAATTATTTTTCTTTTTAAAATACTTTCAAAACAAGCAGTTAACTCATATTAATCCCTCTCAATTATCCATATTACAACAATTTGAATGACAACCAATGAAAAATAGTACAATCCAGGGTCAGGTCAAGAACATATTTTGAGTGTTTTCCCATGGAAATTATGCCGAGAAGTTAAGGCATCTTTCTGTCTTTATCACTAGCCCTCAACCTCTGGGGTTTAGGTTCCATACCTTCACGGGGCTTGCCAGGTAGGCCCACAGTCAGTGCTCTAGGAACACTGGCTTTCCTTCACCATCTAAACCTTAAAAGACCCTGGTTGCTTATACCATATAAAGAAACAATAAGGGAGATAATTCAACAAAATCTAGAAATACAAAAGATATTGTGGTGTGAAAACAGAGGGTCAGTGTACCAGGTACATAACGGAGTATATGGCCTCTCAACCAGCCGATGGAACACACTGATTATCACACTTAAGAAGAACAGGTTCAGGTATGTATCGGTACTCGGCAGGAGTTTGGTTTTTTTTCCAGTTGTTTGTAGTGCAGTAGGATGAAAGTCGGAAAAGATTAAAATTAGATTGATCATCATTATGTTGGAGTAGTGATGTAGTGTTAAGGACAGAGCATCACAGTCTTGTAGGAGGTGTTCTGGTAACAGTTTTGTAGTCACGTGATATTACATTTACTTAGTGGTGCTGGAGTAGAGACAAAATCATCCTCAATTATTATACGGATCATAATAGTGCTATAACGCATTACTTTATTGATTAAAATCTAACATGTTTTAAATAAATTATTTACAATTCTATTTTGTATCTGTCGTTTATAGACATAGTGAAAATTTCTTGAGAAACGATTTTCATAAATCCACAATTTTATATCTAGGCTTTACAGGTCATTTGTATGGTGAAAGTCACGGACTGTAGTGACAAAATCATTCTGATTTGTGATGTACGAAAATATATTCTGTGACAGTCTCGCTCTGAATCGGGATGAGGGGGAGGGAGAAACAATGACTCTTGCACATCTGTGGTAGAGCAGGTTTAAAGTCTTTCCACATTGAATGAAACATAAATATCACGACTTACACTCGTTTTCAGATTAATTACTAAAGGTCTGCGTTTTGTTAAATCAATACATTTGAACTAACCAGGATAACATTAGAAAAAATACAACTGTACAACTTGATTAAATGTTACAGAACATTATTTACTACCTCAGTGTGTATATAAAAGTAGATCGAGAAAGACGAATCCCGAATTACATTAAATCTTATTTACTGCGGCAAATCAGGATAACTTGACGTTAACATTGCTTTCTCTACTATATTAATTTGATTGTTACGGTCTTTGCTCTTTCACTGTAGTTTTGTTCATTACACAATATACAAATTTTTCGAGTTTTAATTCACCTACTTGCATGTATAATGGTTTAGCACAACAGACAGTCTTAGAGGCTGAATTCAAGTTTACAGAGTTCAGGAAAAAAATCTCTCGTGTACACTGTACATGACAGTCAGTAACTTGTACATAACTCTTCACTGGTCATTTGTCTTTTGAAGTAATAATGAGTAGTTTCTGAGTCGTCCAACAAATCTTCAAGATAGAAATTTACGATTTTCCTATCCTATCCATACCAAACTAGATCTGTAGGAAAGGCTATTGATCTGTATGTAGTAAGATGTATTCAATGGATGATGTTTGATATTTTTCAGTAGAATAAAATCACTCAATTTTATGAAAACAAAACAAAAAATATACTGGCGTGCCAACAGTCTTAATTCAAACTCAAATGTGATGACACTTTAGAAAGCATGACTCTGAGACAGATTTACACAGAGCCCTTCTAAAATGTACAAGATAACACCTGGGCTCGTACTCATGAAACCGTTCTCATGCTCAAGCATGAATTTTGTGCTTAAGCCTTCTGTCTTATTTAAGTTAAAAATTGATAAATGAGGTTGATTTTGCCAAAGATTAAAAACAAATTTGAAAGGACTTCAAGTCAAAGTTATATTCAATGTTTATATCTAACATTTGTATTATTTTATATGATTTAGTTGAATTATAAAAGTCTGCTTGAGCACAAAATCTATGCTTGAGCATGAGAATGGTTTCATGAATACGGGCCCAGGTGTTCTGGAAAAGCGTCTCCTGCTTCATCCACGACACCTGCCATGTAAAATGGATCAATTTCAAATGATCTCAAACGTAAACAACAACAGAACCACAAAACACACACATCTCCATATCGCACAAGGGAATACATGTTTATATATTTATCAATACAGATATTACCTATATCTATTTCAATTTCTATGATACATGATACCAGCTTTACCTTTTTATGCTCTTATGTTAACATGATACCTGTTTTAATTTTATATGCTGTTACGACATTATCGACGACACCGACAGTAAAGGAGATGTGAGAATCATCGACGACACCGACAGTAAAGGAGATGTGAGAATCATCGACGACACAGACAGTAAAGGAGATGTGAGAATCATAGACGACACAGACAGTAAAGGAGATGTGAGAATCATAGACGACACAGACAGTAGAGGAGATGTGAGAATCATCGACGACACAGACAGTAGAGGAGATGTGAGAATCATCGACGACACAGACAGTAGAGGAGATGTGAGAATCATCGACGACACCGACAGTAAAGGAGATGTGAGAATCATCGACGACACAGACAGTAAAGGAGATGTGAGAATCATCGACGACACAGACAGTAAAGGAGATGTGAGAATCATCGACGACACAGACAGTAGAGGAGATGTGAGAATCATCGATGACAGACAGTAGAGGAGATGTGAGAATCATCGACGACACAGACAGTAGAGGAGATGTGAGAATCATAGACGACACAGACAGTAAAGGAGATGTGAGAATCATCGACGACACAGACAGTAAAGGAGATGTGAGAATCATCGACGACACAGACAGTAAAGGAGATGTGAGAATCATCGACGACACCGACAGTAAAGGAGATGTGAGAATCATAAAGGAGATGTAAGAATCATCAACGACACCAACAAAAAAGGAGATGTGAGAATCATCGACGACACAGACAGTAAAGGAGATGTGAGAATCATCGACGACACCGACAGTAAAGGAGATGTGAGAATCATAGACGACACAGACAGTAAAGGAGATGTGAGAATCATCGACGACACCGACAGTAAAGGAGATGTGAGAATCATCGACGACACCGACAGTAAAGGAGATGTGAGAATCATCGACGACACCGACAGTAAAACCAAGTAGCAAATTAGGAATTGTAATAATAGTACCTTGTTGTATATTTAAATTATTCAATCTACACACACTTTCTTAAGTAGCTCATTCAGTTTAAGAATATAGATTTGAAATCCAAATCCAATTTTGAAAAAAAATATGATATATATATACTCTGTCACTGGGCCCTAAGATCTATACCCAGTCACTGGGCCCTATGATATATACCCTGTCACTGGGCCCTATGATCTATACCCAGTCACTGGGCCCTATGATATATACCCAGTCACTGGGCCCTATGATATATACCCAGTCACTGGGCCCTATGATATATACCCAGTCACTGGGCCCTATGATCTATACCCAGTCACTGGGCCCTATGATCTATACCCAGTCACTGGACACTATGATATATACCCAGTCACTGGGCCCTATGATCTATACCCAGTCACTGGACACTATGATATTTACCAAACCACTGGACACTGTGATATATACCCAGTCACTGGACACTGTGATATATACCCAGTCACTGGACACTATGATATATACCAAACCACTGGGCCCTATGATATATACCCAGTCACTGGGCCCTATGATCTATACCCAACCACTGGACCCTATGATTTATACCCAGTCACTGGGCCCTATGACCCTATGATATATACCCAGTCACTGGGCCCTGTGATCTATACCCAATCACTGGACACTATGATATTTACCCAACCACTGGACACTGTGATATATACCCAGTCACTGGACACTGTGATATATACCCAGTCACTGGACACTATGATATATACCCAGTCACTGGGCCCTATGATCTATACCCAGTCACTGGGCCCTATGACCCTATGTTATATACCCAGTCTCTGGGCCCTATGATATATACCCTGTCACTGGACCCTATGAAGGGGGGGCGGGGAGTGGTCAGACCTTCAGATTATCTTCACAAGATTTAGTAATAGAATAGTACATGACGGTGTGTTTACAAAATTAGAATTTCAAATTTAGACGAGCTCAACAAGTTTCATCCATGTCTTCCATTTATTATTTAATTTTTTAAGATAGTCTTCTCCTTTACTGTAAGTAATATATATGAGTAGACCTCAACAAGCGTCTTTCCTGATGTAGTGCAAACCACTCTGAGACCAGACATTGTGATATGGTCACAACAGCGCCAGAAGGTCATCTTGGTGGAGCTGACAGTTCTATGGGAAGAAGGGTGTGATGAGGCACATGAGAAGAAAGCTGGCAAATACCAAGAGCTAGCAGAGCTGTGCAGACATAAGGGATGGAACACATGGCTGTTTCCAGTAGAGGTCGGTGCTAGAGGATTCCCTGCAGTCAGTATGGAAGATGTTCCAGAAATTGGGACTGACAGGAGCAAAGAGGAAAGCAGCTATTAAGACCTTGGCTGAAAGGGCTGAGAGAGCATCATGCTGGCTATGGTGTAGATGAGATGAGCCAAACTGGAGCCCAGACAACAGCAAGCAGTGATTGATCACTACTGGTGACCCACCAACCAGAGGACGTCGTGGGATAGGGGTCGAAACGGCCGATAATGGTTGGAATCCATCAGACGATACTGACAACAGAAGGCTCCAGAGCTCCATGTCATCAGTGCCTAGCCGAAGCAGCGGTTGGGTTATCATTAGCAGAGAAATCTGTAAGTTCACACTGGACTTTATAGTACTCCTTAATCTGGTTAGCTAATACCATAACATTTAGGGAATTATGAAAACATCTGGTTTTATATATATATTGTTTAATAAGTAAAATAATTTCATTATCTCTTCCGTTGTAAAGATCTGTTTGTTCATATATTCCAAAAATCACAGTTTGTTTATTTACAGAAAAATTAATAGTAAGAACATCTAATAGTGTTTCAAGACTTGTTAATAACTTTTGTACCTCATTGCATTCCCATAAAATGTGAGTAATTGTCTCCCTTTCTGTCATAAAAAAAGTACAGTGAGGATTATTTGTAAGACCAATCTTGTAAATATAAGAGTTAGTAGTTAAAATGTGATGGTTTATACAAAACTGTAACCATTGACATTTTGTATTGTTAGTTGTCTTGAATGGAAGGAGTATATTTTCCCCCATATGTCATTATTAAATTGGACTGTTTCCCATTTACTTTGCACAGTAGTAGTGGTGTTATGTCTACTAAGTATGCTATAGAAGTCCTGAGGTCCCTTCCTCTTTTCCCAAATGAGTTCCAGGTCTAATGGTATGATTGGATAAGGTAGAGGTTTGTTTATAATGTCATAATTTTTAAGATAAATCCTAATACTTTTTAACAGCCCATGGTATTGGAGATAATTGGATATGTTACCATGCAAATCACAGAATTCCTCAAAGGAATACAAAGAAAAGGATGTAATGTCCTTAACTAGATCACTAATTATTGTAATCACTTTCAGAAACTATTTTTGGAAAAAACTGTTTTTTACCAATAATTATATTCTTATTAAACCTGAAAGTTTATTTAAGTACAGAAAGTGTATTCTTTTAGTACAGATTATCTCTTGTTCCATGTGTGTACCAAGCTTTG